GCAGTCTGGGTCATGGCGTTTTCTTGGGTCATTTAGTCTTAGTGACCAGAGCCTGACATTAGCCTTTTTTGATCACTCTGATTTAGGACCGATATTGCGTGTGTACATTAACACACACACACACATTCGATCAAACGTAGTAGAACCAATAGGAAAGATAATTGGCAAAAACATTCTATATCTGTCTATGCCTATTAATTTTCTTTTGCTCACTTGTGTCTGTATAGGAGATAAGATAGAGCTGGATGGCCTTCTTGATCACGGGAATGTACCAAGTCAATGGTCCGTTGCTGGATTTCACAAATACTGACAGATAACCCATGACTAGGTGTGTTCCACAGTGTCTGCCTGACGCTACGACTAATTTACGAAATCTAGTTGGTACTAACAATATACAGCTAAAGGAGACTACAACCGAAGAGAAGGTCACACCATCTTGTTCTTCATATCTACTTTCTTGACCTGGTGTTAAAGTAAGACTTTAAGAAAAATGAGTACCAGCTCTGACGATGTCCATCACATGCTGGACCAGAGATAAGTCCTCTTTCACCCGAAACGAGGGAGGATGTCATGTGGACTGCGTTAACATGAACATCGTATTAAAGCCAAACGGTGGCAGTACAATGGGATTCAGCCGTCGTTTTCTGGTGAGATCAATCTACGAATAGCTTCTTCATACACTTTCATACGGAATAAAGGTCTCCCCTAAAAGGAATGTTAGAGGAATTTTCCCACAACGATATAATGAGTCTTCAAGTTTAACAAATACTTGCTTCTTAAAAGGCATTGTCATCCAGGATTTTATGATCTATTGTTTCGACCTCGCCTGAACTGGTCTTCTCAGCATCCTAGGCAGGATTCGAACCAAGTTGGTGCATAACACAATTTCGATATTTTATCGCTACGCCACACTGCCATGGATACCAATGGGCCACAAGGCAAACCGGGCCTCTTCCACATCACATTTTTATCGGGCAGCCGATCAACCAAGCTTCTCTCTGCCATTGCAACCGATTACATTACTTATATTCTTATTGAATAGTCGTAGAAACTACCGGTAAATATTGACGAAGAGTTGTATACACTCTGTTTCGTTTAAGGTGATGAAAGACTGGTGGTTTTATTTTCACCCAATTATATAAGTAGGCCTTACTTTTCCATTGCATTTCACATAGCCTTGCTTCCCGCACTGTATTATGAGAAACATAGCTCATGGAATTTCGACGCTCAATCAAGACTTGCCTTAATCTAATTTAGCGTAACTTCGTTTCCACTACCTAAATATCGTAGGTAAACAACCGATACTTGTTTCTTTATCCAAAGCTCGATTGAATAAGGTCCGTTTCACTACCCAGTGGCGCTAGAACTCTGCTGCCCAGCATCCATGTTTCTGTCCATGTACCAACTCGTCTATATACCAACTAGTCGTAGGCCCTAATTCTATGGAAGTGATTATCGGGCTTATGAATACGACCGCAATTTTAGTATATTTGAAAAAAGCTAAGACATTCTAAAAGGGGAATAAATTTTAGTCTAGCCTTTAATTTAAATGTGTGTCCGAGCTGCCTTGATTACACGATTTCCCCTTGTCCCAACCCCTAAATGTATCTTTGGATCTCATGTTTGTTAATAAGGATGAGACGAGATGATATGATATCAATCGTCCTAGTTCCATAGCCTGATGAGGTTTGATCAACTGGGCCATTTTGAACCTCATTGTCTCTTCACTCTGGGTACTTTAAGCTATGAAAAAAATAAACATTTGCATTTTCATTTTGTTTGCCCATCCACATATCAAGAAGGCAGCATGGCGAGCCTAGTCAAGAGAAATATGTGAAGCACTTTTGTCACATAAAGCATGAGTTCATGTTCTGATTAATCTCGTCTGTGCGGCAAATTATTCGGTGACATGAAAAAATCGTTGTTACCCGAAATGGGTTAATCTCAGAGTTTACTGTGACTGGAAATAGGGGCGCAGGTCTTGTTAAGGGGTAAGGGCAATTAGCGTCTCAAGAAGTTGGTCTTCGGATGTTCCCGATTGGTGCGGAGGAAAGACCTGAATTGCATCTTAGTCGAGAGTGGCTACATAAAGTGTACTTCTATTTAACGACAACAATTATGAGTGGTAAATATGAGGAACAATTTTACCCATTTTTCACCGAAGCACCTGCTCTGGGGCATAAAGTCCCCCTCCCACCTAATAGGACTCTTGCAATTTGCAAATGAAAATTTTATTTAGTGAAGGATAGGTGAATGTGAAATGTATTGTTCGCATCCGCATATGCTGAAATAAACTCGCCAAAGGGTCGCTTTGTCTTCCCGACGTCGGGTGTGTGTTCGGTTCGCAAGCCAAACTGGGCAGATTCCAAGTTTAAGCCACCCTTTGCAGTGGTGTGGAGTAGTTTGTGCCTTGGCCCTATCAGAACTCCAAAAAAGGGCTATAGCCTCGAGATTTATCTCCAAACGGGAGACTAACTCGTGATGCTGTAGTAAGAGGGAGATCGAAAGCTAATTTGAATCATTCTAGAATGTTCAAATTGATGTAATTATGGATAGTTCCTGATCGAGATCCAATGGTAATTTCGAAATCCATTCATTCAGAAGAGCATTTTGAACTTCGAGAGGCCTATCTTGCCCTGATCGTCGTGTCTGCCCACATGTCGGCACAGATGCAGCCAGGTACGGTGTTCACACATACGGCAAATGCCAACACACCCGCTTCAGACACCAACAGCAGCCACTTTGGCAGCTTTGACGAGTTCACATTTGGCCGATGTGGATGTACTTGCTTGTCTGCCATCAACCAACTCCTATTTTGTACCTGCCACATGAGCTTATCATGTCCGTTTCTAATGCCCTAGAGCTTGACTACCAAGATCAGGCTAACCCTAGATTCTGCTGCGTCAAGGAAAGAGCACTCCAGTGAGATTTGGGTATGGGGTGCATGAAGACTCAGCATAGGTTCGGCTTGTCACATTTCATAATGGCCCTATTTTATGTGGTCCGGCAAATACTACTTATTTTTATTAAGTAGTTATGCCCCGTTGAAAGTTTATCTAAACTTACTATTAAGGGTTCCCTTCTAGCCTCAGTTGCTTTCGCCTACACGTACAAGACATATAAAATTGGTTGGTAGACATTTGAATGGCAATGGTCCCAGGAAAATTGACACTAACGGTCATCTTACTTCGATGGGGAGAGTTTGAAAACATCTACAAGAAGCCGACTAGTTTGTGTATTTTAAAGATGGGAAATTAATTTTTATTACAAAGAAACGTATACTAGTATGAAAAAACGATTTAACCGCCGCGAAGGGCTCAGTACTCCTCGGCCTCGTCACCCTCTCCACCCTCCTCCACACTGTCCACACCCACCTCCTCGTAGTCCTTCTCCAGGGCGGCCAGATCTTCTCGGGCCTCGGAGAACTCACCCTCCTCCATTCCTTCACCGACGTACCAGTGCACGAAGGCCCGCTTTGCGTACATCAGGTCGAACTTGTGATCGAGGCGAGCCCATGCCTCGGCGATAGCGGTCGTGTTGCTTAGCATACAGACGGCCCGCTGTACCTTGGCCAGGTCGCCGCCTGGTACAACTGTGGGCGGTTGATAGTTGATGCCCACCTTGAAGCCGGTGGGGCACCAGTCGACAAATTGAATGGTTCGCTTGGTTTTTATCGTCGCGATTGCTGCATTCACGTCTTTCGGGACGACGTCGCCCCGATAGAGCATGCAGCAGGCCATGTACTTGCCGTGCCGAGGGTCGCACTTCACCATCT